GGAAGTTAGTCGTGTCTAGAGGTTAGACGAGCTTTGAAAACATCCCTGAGACACTTGTGGATATTTGTCATTATTTTCTAGAATTTACAGTAACAAAATTAAATATAATAAATGTTATTTCCCAGTAAAAGTAGACTTTAGACAAGGGTGTGTGATGTCACCAGAGTTGTTCAATATATTTATAGATGTGTGATGTCACCAGAGTTGTTCAATATATTTATAGATGTGTGATGTCACCAGAGTTGTTCAATATATTTATAGATGTGTGATGTCACCAGAGTTGTTCAATATATTTATAGATGTGTGATTTCAAAATAGTTGTTCAGTATATTAAATAGATGAGTGATGTCACCATGGTTGTTCAGTATATTTATAGATGTGTGATGTCACCATGGTTGTTCAGTATATTTATAGATGTGTGATGTCACCATGGTTGTTCACTCTATTTGTAGATGTGAGATGTCACCATGGTTGTTCACTGTATTTGTAGATGTGTGATGTCACCATGGTTGTTCACTAGTATTTTGTAGATGTGTGATGTCACCATGGTTGATCACTGTATTGTAGAGTGTGAATGTCACCATGGTTGTTCACTGTATTTGTAGATGTGTGATGTCACCATGGTTGTTCACTGTATTTGTAGATGTGTGATGTCACCATGGTTGTTCACTGTATTTGTAGATGTGAGATGTCACCATGGTTGTTCTCTGTATTTGTAGATGTGTGATGTCACCATGGTTGTTCACTGTATTTGTAGATGTGTGATGTCACCATGGTTGTTCACTGTATTTATAGATTGTGATGTCACCATGGTTGTTCACTGTATTTGTAGATGTGTGATGTCACCATGGTTGTTCACTGTATTTGTAGATGTGTGATGTCACCATGGTTGTTCACTGTATTTGTAGATGTGTGATGTCACCATGGTTGTTCACTGTATTTATAGATGTGTGATGTCACCATGGTTGTTCACTGTATTTGTAGATGTGTGATGTCACCATGGTTGTTCACCGTATTTATAGATGTGTGATGTCACCATGGTTGTTCACTGTATTTATAGATGTATGATGTCACCATGGTTGTTCACTGTATTTATAGATGTGTGATGTCACCATGGTTGTTCATTGTATTTGTAGATGTGTGATGTCACCATGGTTGTTCACTGTATTTGTAGATGTGTGATGTCACCATGGTTGTTCACTGTATTTATAGATGTGTGATGTCACCATGGTTGTTCACTGTATTTGTAGATGTGTGATGTCACCATGGGTTGTTCACTGTATTTATAGATGTGTGATGTCACCATGGTTGTTCACTGTATTTATAGATGTGTGATGTCACCATGGTTGTTCACTGTATTTATAGATGTGTGATGTCACCATGGTTGTTCACTGTATTTATAGATGTGTGATGTCACCATATTTGTTCACTTTATTTGTAGATGTGTGATGTCACCATGGTTGTTCACTTTATTTGTAGATGTGTGATGTCACCATGGTTGTTCACTTTATTTGTAGATGTGTGATGTCACCATGGTTGTTCACTGTATTTATAGATGTGTGATGTCACCATGGTTGTTCTCTGTATTTATAGATGTGTGATGTCACCATGGTTGTTCACTGTATTTGTAGATGTGTGATGTCACCATGGTTGTTCACTGTATTTATAGATGTGTGATGTCACCATGGTTGTTCACTTTATTGTAGATGTGTGATGTCACCATGGTTGTTCACTGTATTTATAGATGTGTGATGTCACCATGGTTGTTCACTGTATTTATAGATGTGTGATGTCACCATGGTTGTTCACTTTATTTGTAGATGTGTGATGTCACCATGGTTGTTCACTGTATTTATAGATGTGTGATGTCACCATGGTTGTTCACTGTATTTATAGATGTGTGATGTCACCATGGTTGTTCACTGTATTTATAGATGTGTGATGTCACCATGGTTGTTCACTGTATTTATAGATGTGTGATGTCACCATGGTTGCTCATTATATTTATAGATCAAGTAGTAATAGAAGTGAATGCTCGGGAGTTGGCAAGTGGTGTGGGGTTAAAAGATAAAGACTCTAACACAAAGTGGGAGTTGTCACAGTTGATTTTTGCTAAAAGAAAGATTGGATATCAGATTGGAGTGAGAGAGTATAGAGGAGGTGAATATATTCAGATATTTGGAAGTTAGGAGGAGGTGCGGGATTACCAAAACTGTTGTCCAGAGGGCTGAGGAAGGGTTGTTGAGGTGGTTCGGACATGTAGAGAGAATGGAGCGAAACAGAATAACTTCAAGAGTGTATCAGTCTGTAGTGGAAGGAAGGCGGGGTAGGGGTCGGCCTAGGAAGGGTTGGAGGGAGGGGGTAAAGGAGGTTTTGTGTGCGAGGGCTTGGACTTCCAGCAGGCATGCGTGAGCGTGTTTGATAGGAGTGAATGGAGACAAATGGTTTTTAATACTTGACGTGCTGTTGGAGGTGAGCAAAGTAACATTTATGAAGGGTTCAGGGGAACCGGCAGGCGGACTTGGTGCCTGGAGAAGGGAAGTACAGTGCCTGCACTCTGAAGGAGGGTGTTAATGTTGCAGTTTAAAAACTGTAGTGTAAAGCACCCTTCTGGCAAGACAGTGATGGAGTGAATGATGGTGAAAGTTTTTCTTTTTCGGGCCACCCTGCCTTGGTGGGATATCGGGCAGTGTGATCAATAATAAAAATTAATATAATTGGGATATGGAATGTCAGCAGTGAGTTCATGAAAGATAATAAGGTAAGTAGTAAGTTTATTCAGTTAAACACAAATACAGTTACATAGAATTATCATACATAGCAGCATATGTGTAGAGAACCTGAGATAACCCAAAAAAGTCAGACAGAGTGGTTAATGTTGCAACAGGGAGAAGGCTGGACGCAGTGGAAATGTCATGTCTGAGGGCAATGTGTGGTGTGAATATAATGCAGAGAATTCATAGTTTGGAAATTAGGAGGAGGTGTGGGATTACTAAATCTATTATCCAGAGGACTGAGGAGAGGTTGTTGAGGTAATTCGGACATGTGGAGAGGACGGAACAAAATAGAATATCTTCGAGAGTGTATAAATCTGTAGTGGAGGGAAGGCGGGGTAGGGTCTATCTAGGAAAGGTTGGAGGGAGTGGGTAGATGCGTGAGCGTGTTAAATACGACCAAATAGAGGCAAATGATTTTTAAGACTTAACGTGTTCTTGGAGTGTGATCAAGGTATCATATATGAAGGGATTCATAGAAACCAGCAGGCTGGACTTGAGTCTTGGAGATGGAAAGTACAGTGCCTGCACTCTGAAGGAAGATTGTTAATGTTGCAATTTTATAACTCGAGTGTAACCACGCCTCTGGCAAGACAGTGATGGAGTGAATGATGGTGAAAGATTTTCTTTTTCGGGCCACCCTGCCTGGTGGGAGACGGCAGATATGTTAATAATAAAAAAATATATATTCATTAATACGTGATATTGGTTTGACTTTAGAGAAATATCGAGAGAACAAGGAAGAACCAGCACCGCAGGGAACTGTGTCGGGGGAGAGACGCAGAAGAAATGGCGGACTAACATTGCTTGAATATAATAGTGGTGATAAATTTTGTGCCATGGGATCCAACAATGGGTGTAACGGCTAAATTGGACAACCAGTTTGCTGCAGATGGTCATATTTTCTGGGAAACAGATGCAATATAGCTGGGATGGTGGAAAATAAGGAGACACTGAAACAGCTGAGTTGCACAGCACATATAATGTACACTTCCATATATTTTCAATAGTTCAGAGAGCTGCCCATGTTTCTGTTATAATAAAGTTGGTAGAATTACCGACAATATGTAAAGTAAAAGGACACAAGTGCAACTAATGTGACATTTATTGTGGCAACGTTTCGTTCTCCAGGAGCTTTATCAAGCCATTACAAACAATACATGGACACAGAGGGTATATAAAGGCTCAGAGTGAGGTGCAATACTAGTGAGGTACCATTTTACTTTACATGTTTCTGTTAGTTATTGTTTAGGAAGTTTTAAGATGTGATCTGCCAACAATAATATGGGACCCAAGCAATATACGGCAAAGTGAATTTCTAAATTTGTTTAATTTATGTGAAATATAAAATGATACAAGTAAATGGGGTCCATCTCCAGTGTAAATTTTGGGAACATGGAATATATGTTTATAAGATACATTCTCTCTGCATATTCTTTTTATGTGTATAATTTGTTGACCAAACCACTTGTTAGTAAGTCAGGTCATTAATATCACAATACAGTCCACAACCATAAATTACCACTGTTACTTGGTTAAATTCAATAAATGTATACATATCTTTAGGTTCAATTTATGTGAATGTGCGAGTGAGTGGGTGGGTGGGTGGGTGGGTCGGTGGGTGGGTGTTCATCGACGGAAGTATAGTGTTGTGACCCATTGTACTTAAAGACCCATTTATCTCAGATGTACAACTAACATCAGTAAGTGTAAAGTTAATTTAGTTGTTTCTGCCCTAAATTACGTACTTGTAAAACTTCAGGTCACTACCTGTGAACTTCAAGTACATAACTTCTCATATTTGTGCAATAAATGTCTCCTTTATCAACTTATCGGTTTAATAAACCGTTTACTTACATCATGTCAGGTACAGCAACATCTTGGGATCTTGATGCAGAGATTTCCTGAAAATATGTCTATCCTATAGACAAGACTTATTCCACTACTGGATTTGTCCACTAGTGAATCTGTTTACCACTGCTCCACCTTATCTGTCATCAGTACTTAAGCACTATCTATGCTGAATGTGCTACAGTTTTGTTAACATTGATGGGTTCAACACATTGACTCTTCATGGCAAGACGTTTCCAGAATAGAGATACCCAAATATTGCACAAATGTCTCATTTATCATCTTCTAGGTTTTGTAAATAGTTTATTCTCATATGATTTTACTTATTTATGCACAGTAAGAACGTTTAATTGATTATATATTTTTTTGGGGCAGATACTTACGAGGTGGTCGTTGTTTGTGGTTCACTAGCTCCTGGTCACATCCAAGTTGAAGGAATCAATGATCTGATCAATGTTGCCAAGCCGGGTGAGTCAACAAATATTGTTACAATATTGAATAGATTCTTAGGAGTTCAGTCTTTTACGTATATATATATATATATATATATATATATATATATATATATATATATATATATATATATATATATATATATATATATATATATATATATATATATATATATACACGTAAGTCTTTTTCTCTCCATATATTCCTCTCTCCTTGTATCACTTCTACTTAGTAAAAACCTCTCATACGATAACGTTTTCTCTCTTAATACTCTTTTACATCATCATTCCACCAATCGCTCTTCTTCCCTCCCACATCCATTTTCCTGCAACCACAAACTTCTGCTGAATATCTCCATATTTTTCATCTTAATTTCAAGAATTATAGCATATGAACAAGGAGGCTTTAAAAAATGTAGAGGGAGTGTAGACCAAGCATTTATGGTGAAACGTACAGGTGAACAGTATTTTTACATAAGGTTTTTGTGGCATTTATGGTTATTCAATATATTTATAGATGTAAGAGAAGTGAATGCTCGGGTGTTGGCAAGAGGTGAGGTGGTAAAAGATAAAGAATCTAATACAAAGTGAGAGTTGTTGTAGCTGCTCTTTGCTGATGACACTGTGCTTTTGGAAGAATCTGAAGAGACGCTGCAGAGGTTGGTGGATGAGTTTGGTAAGGAATGTAAAAGAAGAAAATTAAAAATGAATATAGGAAAGAATAAAGTGATGTAGGAGGTGAATGTATTCAGATATTTAGGATTGGACATGTCAGCAGATGATTCTATGGAAGATGAGGTGAATTATAGAACTGATGATGGGAAAAAGGTGAGTTGTGTACTTAGGAGTCTGTGGTGACAAAGAACTTTTTCCTCGGAAGCAAAGAGGGGAATGTATGAGAGTATAGTTATACTAACGCTCCTATATGGGTGTGAAGCATGGGTGATTGATGTTACAAAAAGGAGAAGGCTGGAGGCAGTGGAGATGGCATGTCTGAGGGCAATGTGTGGTGTGAATATAATGAAGTTTGGAAATTAGGAGGAGGTGCGGAATTACCAAAACTATTTTCCAGAGGGCTGAGGAGGGGTTGTTGAATTGGTTCAGACATGCAGAGAGGATGGAACAAAATAGAATGACTTAAAGAGTGTATATATCTAGGAAGGCAGGGTAAGGGTGGGCCTAGGAAAGGTTAGAGGGAAAGGGTAAAAGTTTTGTGTGCGAGGGGCTTGGGCTTCCAGCAAGCATGTGTGAGCGTGTTAGATAGGAGCTAACGGAGTCATGGTTTTTAGGACTTGACGTGCTGTTGGAGTGTGAGCAAGGTAACATTTATGAAGGGATTCAGGGAAACAGGCAGACCGGACTTGAATCCTGAAGATGGGAAGTACAGTGTCTACACAGAAGGAGGGGTGTTAATGTTGCAGTTTTATGAATATAGTGTAAGCATGCCGCTGGCAAGACAGTGATGGAGTGATTGATGAAAGTTTATATTTTTCAGGCCACCCTGTCTTGGTGGGAGACAGCCGATGTGTTAAAGAAATAAAATATAAAATCATCTGGGATTCATTACCATAATTGCCATTCTCTGCCCAATTTGATGTTCACTCGTTTCTGTTAATCATTTCTCAGTATATCTTCCCTCTCTGCTTTCATTCTGCAGCAAGCAGTTTTGCACTTTATAACTCAACATATTCACTTCTAAGGCAGTATAATTTCTCTCATTACTAATAACTTTTCTGCTCCAGGTGGATTGGTGGTCATTTTGATGCGATTGGAGTTCTTTTTGACACATGATGAATACAAAGACAAAATGGAAAATTTCATGGACCGTTTGGAGAAGACGAATGTTTGGCGAAAGGTAATGTCTCTGTGATCATTTATATTCTACCATTGTATCCAAATTTATTTTAAGATCGATGTTTAGCAGTAGTAGGATGATGTATATTATACATGCCATGATGTAATACTGATTAAAGTGACATGTCTATATAAATCAAATGTAAGTTTTTGTTTTCCGGGGCCAAATAATGATTTTCTGACGCATTTAATAAAGTCTTACTTATGAACTTGTAGGTTTAGAAACCAATAAGTTGATAAGTAATCACGTGTAGTAATTAGGAATATTACGAAATGTTTTGCCTGCACAGTAGACTTCTTCAGTCAAACACAGAGGCAACAGAAGCAGTAGAGATGTAAAGAAAAAAGTAATCAGTCTTTCATCCACGAGAGATAAATACAATCATAAGTCTTATTTATCAACTTGTCAGTATTGTATACAATTATCATACTTATACCATTATGAATATTAAAAAACGACAGGGTAAAGAATGAGACACTTGTCCAACACTTGAGAAACTTGTGGAAACGTTTCGCCAGTTAGTGGCTTCTTCAGTCCAGTACAGAAAAATGGTGAGAAATTTGTGGTAATCAGTCATTCAGTCAGTCAGTTTTCAAAAAAAAAAAAAAAAAAAAAAAAAAATAAAACTCTGCAGATAAGTGGCTTGTGTGATGCAGACAGATGACTTGAAGCAGCAGCAGACAGAGTCACGAGTGAAAAAATCCTCACATAATAACAACAATAATAATAATAATAATAATAATAATAATAATAATAATAATAATAATAATAATAATAATAATAATAATAATGAGAGTATAAAATATTTTTATTCCTACAAGTACATGTACAAGGTACACAAGTACATGTACAAGGTACACAAGTACATGTACAGGGTACACAAGTACATGTACAAGGTACACAAGTACATGTACAGGGTACACAAGTACATGTACAGGGTACACAAGTACATGTACAAGGTACACAAGTACATGTACAAGGTACACAAGTACATGTACAGGGTACACAAGTACATGTACAAGGTACACAAGTACATGTACAGGTACACAAGTACATGTACAAGGTACACAAGTACATGTACAAGGTACACAAGTACATGTACAGGGTACACAAGTACATGTACAAGGTACACAAGTACATGTACAAGGTACACAAGTACCTGGAGTTTACCTGGAGTTTACCTGGAGAGAGTTCCGGGGGTCAACGCCCCCGCGGCCCGGTCTGAGACCAGGCCTCCTGGTGGATCAGAGCCTGATCAACCAGGCTGTTGCTGCTGGCTGCACGCAAACCAACATACGAGCCACAGCCCGGCTGATCCGGAACTGACTTTAGGTCCTTGTCCAGTGCCAGATTGAAGACTGCCAGGGGTCTGTTGGTAATCCCCCTTATGTGTGCTGGGAGGCAGTTGAACAGTCTCGGGCCCCTGACACTTATTGTATGGTCTCTTAACGTGCTAGTGACACCCCTGCTTTTCATTGGGGGGATGGTGCATCGTCTGCCAAGTCTTTTGCTTTCGTAGTGGGTGATTTTCGTGTGCAAGTTCGGTACTAGTCCCTCTAGGATTTTCCAGGTGTATATAATCATGTATCTCTCCCTCCTGCGTTCCAGGGAATACAGGTTTAGGAACCTCAAGCGCTCCCAATAATTGAGGTGTTTTTATCTCCGTTATGCGCGCCGTGAAAGTTCTCTGTACATTTTCTAGGTCGGCAATTTCACCTGCCTTGAAAGGTGCTGTTAGTGAGCAGCAATATTCCAGCCTAGATAGAACAAGTGACCTGAAGAGTGTCATCATGGGCTTGGCCTCCCTAGTTTTGAAGGTTCTCATTATCCATCCTGTCATTTTTCTAGCAGATGCGATTGATACAATGTTATGGTCCTTGAAGGTGAGATCCTCCGACATGATCACTCCCAGGTCTTTGACGTTGGTGTTTCGCTCTATTTTGTGGCCAGAATTTGTTTTGTACTCTGATGAAGATTTAATTTCCTCATGTTTACCATATCTGAGTAATTGAAATTTCTCATCGTTGAACTTCATATTGTTTTCTGCAGCCCACTGAAAGATTTGGTTGATGTCTGCCTGGAGCTTTGCAGTGTCTGCAATGGAAGACACTGTCATGCAGATTCGGGTGTCATCTGCAAAGGAAGACACGGTGCTGTGGCTGACATCCTTGTCTATGTCGGATATAAGGATGAGGAACAAGATGGGAGCGAGTACTGTGCCTTGTGGAACAGAGCTTTTTCACCGTAGCTGCCTCGGACTTTACTCTGTTGACGACTACTCTCTGTGTTCTGTTAGTGAGGAAATTATAGATCCATCGACCGACTTTTCCTGTTATTCCTTTAGCACGCATTTTGTGCGCTATTACGCCATGGTCACACTTGTCGAAGGCTTTTGCAAAGTCTGTATATATTACATCTGCATCCTTTTTGTCTTCTAGTGCATTTAGGACCTTGTCGTAGTGGCCAATAGTTGAGACAGACGGGAGCGACCTGTTCTAAACCCATGTTGCCCTGGGTTGTTTTTAACTGATGGGTTTCTAGATGCGTGGTGATCTTGCTTCTTAGGACCCTTTCAAAGATTTTTATGATATGGGATGTTAGTGCTTTTGGGGTCTGTATTTTCTTTGCTGTTGCTTTACTGCCCCCTTTGTGGAGTGGGGCTATGTCTGTTGTTTTTAGTAACTGGGGGAGAACCCCCGTGCCCCATGCTCCCTCTCCATAGGATGGAAAAGGCTCGTGTTTAGGGGCTTCTTGGCAGTTCTTGATGAACACAGATTTTCCATGAGTCTGGCCCTGGGGCAGAGTGCATGGGTATGTCATTTATCGCCTGTTCGAAGTCATTTGGCGTCAGGATAAAAATCGGATAGGCTTGTGTTAATCAAATTTTGTGGCTCTCTCATAAAAAATTCATTTTGATCTTCGACTCTCAGTCTGGTTAGCGGCCTTTTCTAAAAACTGAGTCATACTGGGACTTGAGTAGCTCACTCATTTTTCCTTGTTGTCATCTGTGAGGACCCTCTTGTTTAAGTTTGGGGCCCCCAAAACTGGACGTTGTTCTCGATTTTGGGTTTTGGCATAGGGAGAAATACTTTTGGGGTTTTTTTTCGATTTCATTTATGGCTTTTAGTTCTTTCCCGCGATTCCTGATCCTAAAGGATTCTTTAGTTTAAGTTCGATGCTTGCTATTTCTCTGACCAGTGTCTCCCTACGCATTTCAGATATATTGACCTCTTTTAGCCGTTCTGTTATTCTTTTCCGTCGCCTGTAAAGGGAGCGCCTGTCTCTTTCTGTTTTACATCTACTCCTCCTTTTTCTTAGAGGAATAAGCCTTGTGCATACATCGAGTGCTACCGAGTTAATCTGTTCTAGGCATAAGTTGGGGTCTGTGTTGCTTAGTATATCTTCCCAGCTTATATCGGTTAGGACTTGGTTTACTTGGTCCTACTTTATGTTTTTGTTATTGAAGTTGAATTTGGTGAATGCTCCCTCGTGACTAATCTCATTATGTCGGTCTGGGGCTCCGCGCATACATGACTGAACCTCAATTATGTTGTGATCTGAGTGTATTGTTTTTGATATGGTGATATTTCTTATCAGATCATCATTGTTAGTGAAGATGAGGTCTAGTGTATTCTCCAGTCTAGTAGGCTCTATTATTTGCTGGTTTAAATTGAATTTTGTGCAGAGATTTAAAAGCTCGCGTGAGTGTGAGTTTTCATCAGAGCTGCCTCCTGGTGTTATTACTGCAACAATATTATTTGCTATATTCCTCCATTTTAGGTGCCTTAAGTTGAAATCCCCCAGGAGCAAGATGTTGGGTGCAGGAGCTGGAAGGTTTTCCAGACAGTGGTCAATTTTTAACAGCTGTTCCTGGAATTGCTGGGATGTTGCATCCGGAGGCTTGTAGACTATCACAATGACTAGGTTTTGGTTCTCGACCTTTACTGCTAAAACTTCCACTACATCATTTGAGGCATTTAGCAGTTCTGTGCAAACAAGTGACTCTGCAATGTACAGGGCAACCCCCCCCCTTTTGCCTGTTCACTCTGTCACATCTGTATAGGTTGTAACCTGGGATCCATATTTCGTTGTCCAAGTGATCCTTTATGTGGGTCTCAGTGAAAGCCGCGAACATTGCCTTTGCCTCTGCAAGCAGTCCACGGATGAAAGGTATTTTGTTGTTTGTTGCTGGCTTTAGACCCTGTATATTTGCAAAGAAGAATGTTATCGGACTGGTGGTATTGTTGGTACACAAGTACATGTACAAGGTACACAAGTACATGTACAAGGTACACAAGTACATGTACAGGGTACACAAGTACATGTACAGGGTACACAAGTACATGTACAGGGTACACAAGTACATGTACAAGGTACACAAGTACATGTACAAGGTACACAAGTACATGTACAAGGTACACAAGTACATGTACAAGGTATACAAGTACATGTACAAGGTATACAAGTACATGTAAAAGGTACACAAGTACATGTACAAGGTATACAAGTACATGTACAAGGTACACAGTACATGTACAGGGAAACACAAGTACATGTACAGGGTACACAAGTACATGTACAAGGTACACAAGTACATGTACAAGGTACACAAGTACATGTACAAGGTACACAAGTACATGTACAAGGTACACAAGTACATGTACAAGGTACACAAGTACATGTAAAGGTACACAAAGTACATGTACAAGGTACACAAGTACATGTACAAGGTACACAAGTACATGTACAAGGTACACAAGTACATGTACAAGGTATACAAGTACATGTACAAGGTATACAAGTACACGTACAAGGTACACAAGTACATGTACAAGGTACACAAGTACATGTACAAGGTACACAAGCCTGGCTGACATCAGTGACATATACTGTGTAGAAAACTGTTTATTATGCAGAGCATTTCCGGCAAATTTGGTCACTTTTGTCCCAGGATGTGACCCACACCAGTCCACTAACACCCAGGATGCGACCCACACCAG